CAAGCCCTCTCCCAGGCCTAAAGCCAGGAGTCCGACCCTAAGGGTCGCGCCCGCCCCCTCCAAAGACCCCCCACCCGGGAGGCGCCCCACAATGCTCCACCGGCCAGGGCCAGGATCAGCTCCCCAGGGCTGCACCCTCATGCCCGCGTCGACCTACCGAGGCGGGCGGCGGCAGGCCTCGCCGAACCAGCTGCCCTCCCCTGCAGGAGCTCCTCGGGGAGCCGCGCCCGGAAGCATCCGCCCCGCCGCCACCGCCTCTCGCTGCCTTTCTCTTCCGGGTCAGGGGCGACGCAGCTCGGCCGGAAAGCGCCCCCTGGGGGCGGGGTTAGGTGGGGGGAACGCGAGGCGCGGGGCTTGCCGGGAGTTGTAGTTCTTCCCCAAAGCCCACCCGGTCGCAGGAAGCCTTTTGCTGCTTTTTTAAAAAAACATTTCTGGTGAGGAAAGTCTAGTGAGGGTGTTTTTTTTTAAAATCTCCTCGTGGTTGTTTTATTTTGGGGTGGGGAGAGAGAAGCGGAGTAAAAAGGTTGCATTTAAAATAAGGCACTCTGCACATGTTCAGAATTTGGGGCGTGAGTTTTCTGAGGTCCTCTCCTGGGGACCTTGATCAAATCAAGCCTGAACTATTTCTCTGGAAGCCGAAATGATGAAGCTGAGGCTGCCCTATTTAGGGCACACCGTGAGAAGGCGGGAATTCTCTGGAAAAGACAACAGTGGAAGGCGGCAGGAAAAGAGGAAGAGCAAACATAAGAAGAGGGCCTGACTCCCTAAACCTAAAACGATGCTACAGCCTTGAGTTGAAAGGTCCTGATCTGGCACGCTAAGGAAGGAATACTAGTCACAGAAATGCAACTTTCATCTTTTAATTCAGAGTTTCCCTAGACCATTTAAAAAGAGGGGATCAGGCCAATTCTTGAATATACCTGGCTGGGATAATAACGATATAGAACTTCCAAATTCAGCAGCAGTCTACCCTTGGACACCAGCTGTCAAGAGAGCAACAGTCGGCGCCTGGGAAGGAGAACCGTTGGATGGATCTCTGCTTTACCCTGGCACACTTTTCTTAAATTCACTCGGCTCCAGGTCTACAGGGTCGTTATATTTTACACGAAGACCCCCCCCCCCCAATTCAATGCAGATTCTGCAAAGGGAGCGAGTAAATAAGTCTGGATTCAGTGCAGTTTGCGGAAGGGTGCACGTGGTTAGTATTGCAATGACTCCCTAAACCTAAAGGAATGCCCTAGCCTGGAGTGCTGGACTGCGACTTTCCCTTGCCCTAACTAACAGGCACAGCCAGGGGATGATGGCATATGTAGTCCCGCAGCCGAGCAACACAAGTAGCCCATCTCTGGTCTAATTGCAGTTCATAGCAAGCACAAGCAGGTGCAAAGCCCCGCAGTTCCGCAGGCTTAATTTACACACGATGGTCCTTCTTATGGATTTTTTCCCCCCAACTCCAACCATTGAACTCCACTACTTCCCTCTTCTTTCCAAGCGCACCACAATTCTGAGCCGTTCCTAACTCCCTTTTGTACGCATGCGTAGAAAAAAGACATTTCCCGCCCCCTGCCTTCGTCGCCCAGCCCGCTGCCTCCGGCCACGCATGCGCCCAACCCAAAGCTTACGGCGCTCCCCTAGCGCGGAGCAACGGACGACCTTTTGCGCGTGCGCACTGGCTGCAACCACGGTGGCCGACGAGGCTCTTTCCTCCGTCACATCCCAAGATGCGTTGAATTGCGCTCCGTCGCGTTTTCCATCGCCTGGCGGCTACGAGGGGTTACCGACGTGGGCTTTCCGGTGCCTTCTGACAAACGGGCCTGCCGGACGGCGGCGGGTTCCCTTCACAAGCGGTGTTACCGGCTTTCAGCGCCCCGCTGTAGAGGCATTTCTTCGCGAGAGGGAGGATAGTTCCTGAGCAATTTATACAGGTATCCTTCCGCGGAAGATTCGGTGAGAGCCGTTATTAATATCCATCCGCCTATATGGTTAATGTCCTTCCTTTCCTCTAGAATAGATCCTTGCGCGCCGTTGTTGCCTAGCAACGCTGGTTGGACCTATGTGTAAATAACCCTCCGCAGGTCATTATAGCCCCTTCATTATTCTCCTTCTCTAAAGTCTTCCTTACTGTCAGATCTTTCCTCGAGTCTAAGCCACCATTTATGCCTTGAGACATTCCTTCACTCCCTGGTATTTGTATTTTTTAAAAATTAAATTGTAATGAGACATTTTGCAGGAATGTAACAGCAGCATCTTGGCGTTGGCATGCTCTTTTTGTGCCCTGTTATTTATATTTATTTACTGGGCTATAAGCAAATATAGGGGCAAAGCTCATGCTTTGCCTCCCTTGATATCGGCTGAAAATTACAAAATAAAACATCAGAATGTCACATAATCTGACGGATAATAAAAGAAATCAAAATGCAGAAAGGCGGCCAAGGCGAAGTTACAGATAATCAAAGCAGCTTGTTGGAGATGAGTAAAGTTTGCATCACGTAGGATGGGCAGTTCCAGAAATCATCATCATCACCACCTCCTATGGATGCTCAAGTCCAACCCGTCAAGGAGGCAGAACAGGGAATCGAACTCGCAACCTTTGATGAAAGCACTGAGCTATCCAGCTCTTCATTCTGGTGCCATGTCCAGAAAGGGGTGGAAACATGAAATCCATCAATTAACCTGGAACCAAAGAGTTTAACAGGAGAGGTTGCTAACATGTGGGCTTAGGGGGCTATATTTTCTCACTAACTTCTTATGAAGTTTGCTAGGACAGTAACTAGCTGTATTTTCCTATTGGCTTACAAAGAGAAAAGCTCCTTCCTCTGTGGATATCATGATCATTCATTAAATGATAGTTGCCCTACCATTTGAATCCCTCAGTGTTACTATTTTAAACCTTGTTTAAGTGCTGATATTATCCTCATCTGTTTGTGAGCACTTCACTGTAATTTGGGCTTCAGGCATTCAAAGCTGTTCCTGGTTTGTTTTTCTGCTTTTATGAATGAAGACGTGACCCACAAACTATCAGAGAACATGTTTTTTATTTCTTTATATCACAGCTTATAAGCCGGGAGTCTAGCTCAAGCAGAGGTGTGAAGTCAGCCTAGAAATCAAAAATATTGGTTCATGTTGTAGCTCAATAGTTTCGAAATGTTTTGGATCCAGGACCCTAAACTGTAACAAGACACTCCACTCACCTTTTCCAATGTATAAGCATCTCATTCTTTGGAAATTCTTCTTCTGATTGCTTCAAAGAGGGGGCAAGACTTCTCCATCTTAATAGTTGTATGGCAGAGTGAATTTTGGCACCTATAATGAGCATATCAAAATATCGCAAAGACAATTGTTAAAGATCAAGGAATCTGTATCTTTTGACTGGTTGAATTAAATGATGTATAAGCCACTATTAAACAAACCCAAAATAAAGTATGGAAATTAAAGCAAATATGTAATGAAATTTTAGTAGGTAGCATAAAAGTTTGGGGGGGGGTTGCTAAAAATGCAGCATTGTTGCCACCAGGCCAGGGATATTTCCCACGTGGAATATCACCCTTGGCTGTCTTTCTGGTTTCTATTAACCTTACCTTGGCTCATGAGAATCCGGGGAGGAGAGGTGCCAGAGATTATTCCAGTCTTTGCACAGTTTGGTAAGGGGTAGCTGATGCCCTTCCAAAGCCACCTGACTTTGTGCATTTAGTCTTTCTTTACATCTCTGCTTTTCACTGCTTTTTTTGTAAAAAGAAACCCAGATGGAAAGGAAGACACTGATATGATACAACATGTCTTTCACATGGACTCAACCAGCCAAGTGAAGATAAATGGTTACCTATGTGCCCTGAATAGCAACGCATCTTTAGCAGGGTCTTTCCCAAGCCTGCTACAAAGGATCATATTTGCTTAACTATGTCAGGGACAGAACAGGATCATCAGACTGCAGGCATGGGGTGTCATTAGAACAGGTTCTACGGTTTGAGGTCTTGTCAGTTATGAGTCTCCATTCCTGACTCTAGAGCTTGCCATTTATTGCTGTTATCTCAGGTGTATGATTTAAGCCCTGCACAGGATTTCCTATCATTGTGTGATTCTGGCCATAGAGGAAATGGGATGGCAAAACTTTCAGAGCTGTGTAAGTCTTGGGTACAGAGGCAGGGAACCTGAATTTGGGTTTTCCTTTTTCATAGATGCTATGGCATTTTCAAGATATTTCATTTGATACAAGCTTTTGGGAAATGCCACCAACAAATGCTTTGACCAAATAAAACTATAACTTTCTATGGTGCCAGAAGATTGTAGTTAATCTTGCCATACATAGACAGTATGTATGTGAGTAAAGTGCATACTTATAAAATTTTGTCATGCTGGGAACCTGAACAACAGCAGTCTGCAAAAAGGCTACTCAGGTACTATTAGTATTGTCAGTTGGATCTCTCCCATAAAAGCTTCCCAACAAACCTCTTGTCTCAAAGAACAGTCTCTTCTATGCAGCCTTTCCTGAATTTTGTTACTTTTTTTCCCAAGTTGAGATATAGGCAAAACATTAAAAACAAGGTGCAAAAATTGGACAGTCATTTCTGTGTTTCTGACACAATCACCCCCCTAATTTGGAGGTGGTTAAGGAGAAAGAAAGGAACAGAGGTAACAAACAAGCATAGCAGTGTTTAAGCTTGTTTTTTTTTAATGCCTCGTATGATGTTGGAGAAAACAGATTGCAATTGTTGTGCTCACAGCCGGAATATTGGTGTTTTTCAGATTTAATATCATGGAATGCTCTAATATAAAACAATCGCTTGCTTCTTCTTATGTTTATAATCCTGCTGGCCCACCATTCCAGAACTACCAAATATGTTTTCTGTGATGTTTTACCCCATCTTCTATACCTGCTGCCCACTCCTTCTGAAGTTACTTTAATCTCCTCCTCCCATGTTAACTTCCAGAAGTTGAATGGAATGATCTTTTCTTCTCCAGGTTGTGCTTCCACATGTCAGAGTCAGGACACAGCCAGCCAGGACTGTATGAACGTCGCCGTCGCTGGAACCGCGATAAGGACATGGGTCACCAGAGCCTGTCGGGGCCGGGCAGGGATCGTGACTACGTTCCCTGGGACCGAGACCGTGACCGGCGGGTAAAGGGCAGCCTTTGAATGTCTCAGGGAAACAAGATTGAGGGGGGTAACTTGAATGCCCAGTTTGACCCCGTTGTTTTCACAGGAACCTACGGATGAACCAGTAGGAACGGTGATGCAGAAGACGCCCATCATCCTGGCAAAGCCACCAGCTGAGAGGGTAGGTCGAGGAACCATCACACGCTGTTTTGCAACCTGTGAGCTAAATTGATTTTATGCTGCCCAGTGTGCAGGCAATTTCATATGGTAAAATAAATAAATAAATAAATAAATTTGCTTCTAAGAAATGGGGTTAGTATCTTGAATGAGGGATGGAAACACAGGACCCATGAACCACATGCATCTCCACCCACTTCTACAGTCCCCAGACCCAGCAAGCCATCCTCTCCATCATGGTGGAAGCTCTAGAAGGAGAATTTCTAGACCTGGAAACCTCTAAGACAGTGATGGTGAACCTATGGCATGCCACTTCCACTACTTCTGCTGCCTCCGGTCCCGCCACCCGCTGATGGTTTTGTTTTCCCCCAGTTTGGGCACTCAGGTCCAAAAAGGTTCACCATCACTGCTCTAGGAGAAGTGCTTTCCTTGTAAAGCAAGTGAAGGGTCTTGCTTTTGTGCGGGAGCAAGAATGGGAATGGCGTCTAAGTCTTTTTTTTTCAGAACCAGAAATGAATTTCCAGCTTTAGAAAAAAAACCAGTGCAGATGAAAAATATATTTTTGGGAAGGATGTTGCCTTTGGCATGCCTGGAAGTGCAAGTAACAGTTGTCCTCCAAACCCACTAAAATTACGAAGCTCTCTTAGCTGATCTTACTGTCTGTATTTAATCCAAAATTTAGAAATCAGCAACTGGCAATCTTTGGCTGATTTCCTACCCAAAAAAGACAGCTCCCTTGGTTGCCAGGGTTTTTTTGTATTTTGTTTTGTCCTCCTCTTCTCTGTTTCCAGAATGAAAGACAGAGGAGATGGTGCTCCCTTCCTCTCTCTCATGCTTTTCTTTCATGTGATTGGAATCCTGGGGGTGATGGATTGAGGGTAGGGAAGGCACCCATTCAAAGCATTTCCTTGCTTCATTTGTTATAGGGAGCAGGGAGGGAAGAGGGTCCCACGGGCCTGGGTAAAATCTCTGTGGCCAAGAGGGGTTTTGGATCTCAGCCTCTGTGTCCTCACAGTCCAAGGGGGCCCCAACCCCCACTCCCACTCCAGCCCCTGCTGCCACCCCGGCCATGGAGAAGCCCATTGTGTTGATGAAGCCCCGGGAAGAAGGCAAAGGCCTTGCGGGAGCCACGGAGGCGTCGGCCCAGCCCCCAGCTGCCGTGGCCAAGGTGGAGAAGGAGGGCCAGCGTCCCACCCAGCCGGTCTACCAGATCCAGAATCGAGGCATGGGCTCTACTGCACCCAGTAGCGTCATGGATCGTAAGTACCAAGAATGATTCTTTAAGAGATGGAGTTGTGTTAGTCTTGTAGGAAAAGAGTGCCCTGGGAGGAGAAACATTAATTGTGATTACATGCACTACATGTTTCCCTGAAAATAAGACCTAACCTGAAAATAAGCCCTAATATGATGTTTTAGGATGCTCGCAATATAAGCCCTAAACCAAAAATAAGCCCTAGTTAAGTGATACCCCGCCCTCCACCCTTCTGCAGCAACCAGAAGATGATGACATGACTGCATTTGAATGTAGATGGTTGTAAATGAAAAAAATAAAACATCCCCTGAAAATAAGGCCTAATGCGTATTTTGGAACAAAAATTAATATAAAACCCTGTCTTGTTTTCGAGGAAACACAGTAACATTTATGAACAGTAAGGACGTACTGGTTTATTATGCACTGTTTGCGATACTCTCTGTGCTTAGAAACATTGTAGTCATCTAAGTAAACATGACTGGAAACATCCTGGGAATTCTGTCTTCTTACAGTGAAGTTTTAAATTCATTATGTTACAAGACCACGTTAAGTGAAGTGTGGTCAGTCGCTTTCAATACCATCATCATCATTTTGGAACTGCAGAGCTGGAAGGGACCCTATGGATCGTTGAATTCAGTCCCTGTCGAGGCAGAGAATTGAAATCTCAACCTCTGGCTCCGCAGCCCGATGCCTAAGCCACTGAGCTATCCTGCAGTTAAGGAGAAGACTCATTTTGTAGCCTAGAAGTAGGCATTTTGAGGAACATCTAGATAGTCCTTATGAACATGAATGCCATATCTAAGTTGGACCAGGACTTGGAATGGTTAGCCTTGGCTCATGTGCTGCCCAGTCCTGAGCTCTGGGGCGAGAACACTGGGTGGGAAAACAAAATGGGCCGTGGACCCCAGTTATGTTCAGTCTTTTCATGGGAAATGTATGTGAAGCTGTCATTTGTTCCCTGCTGACTTCATCCCTTTTAAACCCCTCTAGCTGTGGTTGGCCAGGCCAAGCTGCTGGCTCCAGAGAAGATGAAACACAGCATCAAGTTGGTGGATGACCAAATGAACTGGTGTGACAGTGCCATTGAGGTATGGTTGAATGTCCATAAAGTCCCCTTCTTTCTTTCTGTGACTTCCTGCTCTCCTGCAAAGTTTTCCTTTCTGCTTACTCGTGATTTAGTAGTCTTCCATTACGGTGGATCCTTCCTCCCCCCGGACATCTCTGCTCATGTTGAAGGACCTTCACCGCTAATGGTGGTTGTTCTGCTCCTGTAGTTTCTGATCTGGCTGATATAATTTCCTTGTGTATATGTTTTCTGTCTTTCTTAATAGTACCTCCTGGACCAAACAGATGTTTTGGTGGTCGGGGTGCTGGGCCTGCAGGGTACAGGCAAATCCATGCTGATGTCACTGCTATCAGCCAATCAGCCTGAAGAGGATCAGAGGTACTTGGGAGCTAGGGTAGGGGAGCCAGGGTTGCAAACGCATCATTTCATTCTGGGTTGGGAGAATGAGCTGGATCAGGAACATGGTTGGGGAGGCGTTTCTTTTAACTGGGTGGTAGATTTCATTTGTGGACTTTACAGTTTGTTAGACAATGAAATCTGGAATAATGAAAAATGAAAGTTTGATGTCACTTTATTAATTTTGATTAGTTGGGAGAGATGACTTGAGTTGTTGGGTGGAAGGCTGGGTTTGTAAAGGTGTCATTCCTTCATAACAGCTGAGTCAATTGGTGGAAGGATTTGCTGCCCAAACTTAATATAATGTAGATTATCAACATAATGTTGCTTTTTTCTGTTCCTTTTAGGACCTACGTATTCCGCACACAGAGTCAGGAGATCAAGGAGCGTGGGGGCAACCAGACCAGTGGCATTGATTTCTTCATCACTCAGGAGCGTATCATCTTCCTTGACACTCAGGTCTGTGATTTGCTGTTCTTTCTCTAATTCTGGACTAAAACTCCCAGAAGCCTTTGCCACTAGCTATGTAAGCCAGGAATTCTGGGAGTTGTAGTCCAAGAATGTCTGGAGACCCAATGTTGGGAATCATTGCTTTAAATCCTTTTAAGTGTCCTTTGTGGAGCCACTATGGTGACTACAGCTGCATTGTCTAGTTGCTTCGAGTGAAAGATCTAGATTGAAGTCCTCCCTACATGGAAATAAAAACTGAAAACATGAAGGGGATCTTCTGTCATTTCACAAGTGGCAGTGCCACACCCAGGGGGGTTACGGAGAGGCAATGGTGTTACTCAGTACCCAAGGTTTTTGTTTCTTTATTTGCAGCCCATTCTCAGCCCCTCCATCCTGGATCATCTCATCAACAATGACCGCAAGCTGCCTCCAGAATATAACCTACCCCATACCTACGTTGAGATGCAGGTAGCAATCTCCCTCTCCCTCTCTCTCCATCTCCTTCTCCCTCCCCCCCTCTCTCTTTGGTGTGTTTGTATGTGCGTTTTTTGTATAGGAACGAACAGAGCTCTATCCCTGATGTGTTCACAGAGTCTTAAGTATTTTGTGAAAGTGAAAGAAGGGGAGATGCAGAGAAAGCAAACCAGGTTTTTCCATTTATTCTCAGTTCTTCTGTTAGTTGTATTACTTTTTCTTTCCTTCTTTCACATTCACCCTCCTCTTTTTTTCACTGGGTTGCTTCTTCGTCGATTCATCTGTTCCCAGCGGATGCCAGACTGCCTGTGCCCAAAAGGGCAGTTGACTTCAGAGTGGTGCACCCAACAGGGAGACAAAAATGCCCTTGCTTCGGGTGAACAGAGACTCAAATCCAAACCTTCATAAAGGGCCAGCTATTGGGAACCTAGGAGAATCTGCTCAGCACCATTTCTCCTACTCATCACTCTTTTCCTTCCAGTCCCTGCAGATTGCTGCTTTCCTCTTCACCGTCTGCCATGTGGTCATTGTGGTGCAGGACTGGTTCACAGATCTGAGCTTGTACAGGTGAGAGACGGGGGAAAGAGATTGAGAACCTGGTCCCAGTCAAGAGCTGTAGAAAAGAGGCTTAACTAACGACCCCCTCACTTGGCACTGTCCAAGCAAAAGCCCCTTACTTTCCTGTTAGACTTAAGGCTGAAGCTGAGTATAATCATCTTTCTTCAGAAGACAAGTCTGAATTCTCCATTAAAATTCTCATATCTAAGCCCACAAAATGCTAGGTGATGCAGCATTTTCAATGTCACGCAAATTATTTGTGTCTGTATGTCCTTGATTATTACATATAATTTGTTTCATTCTTCTTGTTACCAGAAGCAGTGTTGAGTGATGCATGGCACCGAAGACACGGCTCTCTGTCCACTAGAAACCTAGTTCACTAGGCATTGCCGAGCTACAGACCACATTAAACAAATCCCAGTTCACCAGTATAGTTAGAGCACAACAGCCACTGTATCTGTATCTTGAGCATCAGATATTGCATTGAGCTGTAGGCATGGCTGTGGGCAAGCTACAGAGTCATGGGATGCCACCAGACAGGGTGGAGTTGATTTAAATCCAATCGATGTAAATCACAATTTAAATTTTAAAAAGTCAGATTTTTTTGATGATTTAAATTAGAATTCATTTTTAAATTTAAATCATGATTTAAGTTAATTTGATTTTTAAAAAAACCCACTGATTTCTCTCCACCCTGCCGCTAAAAGAAAGCAATGGTAAACAACTGAGTACTGTGTACCAAGGAGACCCTGGACAGCCATTCCACGAGTTTATTAGTTTTATTTATAGGCCAACCTTTATCCCAATAAGGGGACCCAAGGTAGCCCACAATATTAAAAAGAATCGAAGGAAAAACATAGTAAGTTAAAGGTTAAAAAACAAACTATACAACTAACTAAAATGCAATTCAATAATTAAAAGCAAGTAAACATTAAAAACTGTCTTAACTTTTAAAAAGGCATTCATGTAATCAATCGTGAGTGTTAAAAGCCTGTCTTAAAAGATGAGTCTTTGCCCAAGGGAGAGCATTCCATCTTAAGATCTGTCTTTCTTCCTCCCCTTGAATTATAGGCATCTTGCATTTTCCTTGTAATTAAAAAAAAGAAAGGAATAGGAAAATATAACAGATTTCTTGATCGGGAAGTGCAATTGAGAAGAAAATTGCTGCAGCCCTTCCTGGTGCCACAAGAAGGGGATAATGTCTGTTCCAAGAATCCATTTCCTTTCACTGCTATACTAAGGATGTTCTGTATCCACCCCAGGTTCCTTCAGACAGCTGAGATGGTAAAGCCCTCCACTCCGTCCCCCAGTCACGAGTCCAGTGGTTCTTCTGGCTCAGATGAAGGCACAGAATATTACCCACACATTGGTATGAAAGAATATAAATGCGGCTTTCTGGGGCTATATCAGAATCTTTTACTTCATCACCGTAGAAAACAAATGGGCAGGTAGAAAGGGACATTAAGCTCCTTTTCCTTGGCGCCTGGCCTCCCTAGATGCTCAGTGCACCTTTTTCCTTAGAGGAGGGTTGAGATTTCAAAGCTTCAGAATTTCACATTAGGTGCTGGACTTCATGCTTATGTAGCATTTCCATAAGACACATAGATCATGAATTTCAAGAGCAGGTTCTTCACCACATTAGCATCATCTTTGGGGGGATCTCTGGCAGAGCCCACAGAATTCACATGTCCTGTCTTCTTTTCAGCAGTGAGGAGAAGTTACCTTAATAATAATGCCCATAAACCTTTTCTCTGCCCTGTCCTCTAGTTTTTCTCCAGAACAAAGCCAAGAGGGAGAACTTCTGCCCCCGGAATCTGAAGCAGATGCACCTTGTTATTGACAAAATTATGATGCACTCACACTTGAAATACAAGGGTAAAGTATCTCTTTTCAATTCACTCTAAGCACGTAGATCTGTAGCTTAGTAGGTAATGATTTAATGGTGGGCTTGTTCTATGCATGTTGGAGAATATGAGATGCTAGAAATGTATGCACTACTTCAGACTGCAGAGAATCTATGGGAAGCCAGATTTTGGCTGAATATCAGGGAAAATGCCCTAACTTTTAGAGCAGTATGACAATGGAACCGGTTACCTCGGAAGGTGGCAAGTGCCTTAGCACTGGAAGCTTTCAGGAGAAATTTAGAGAGCCACCTGGCCAATATGCTTTGGTTTGTATCCCTGCATTGAGCTGGGGATTGGATTCGATGGGCTTATAGGCCACTCCAAACTAACTCCATTATTCTATGAATTATCCTCCATGTCAGAAGCCCTTGCAAATGGAAAAGGTCGTGGGAACACTTTTTTGCCTGTTCTGCTGATACTGTGTTCACAGGAAATTTTGAATATTGAGGGAATCAATTAAAAAAGACCCTGATTCCCTTCCCACTTACATCTGACGCTATAGTAACTTTAACCTCCTCTGAATCTGAGTCTTCTTCTGTGCTGAGGTTTGGGTTAGCTGTTTTCTTTACTGAATCATTCCTCTTCTGCTCCAAAAGGAACTCTCTCTATGCTGGAATGTAACATCTTCCCAGGTCTGCCCCAAAGCTACCTGGACACAGAGGTCAACCTGTTCTTACTGCCTTTTATGGATACAGACACAGATGATGTTCTGCCAAGAGCAGGTGAGAAGCTGGAATCTTGTCTCTAGCCTTTGGCTTGCAGGAAGGGTAACATCGAGTCGCCTCTGCGCTCTTTCCCCTCCCACTCATCCCCCCCTCCCAGTATTTAATCTTCACAGTATAGAACATACTGTGCGGGAATAGGCAAGGTGTGTTGCTTTGTGATAGGAGAAGAACAGAGTGTGTTCTCTCCCAATTGTCTTTTATCTTACAAAGCTGAAGGAGGGAGTCTCCAAATGCTGCATTCCCAGCCCCAGGAACATCACTCCCTGTAAATAAAACTGGAAGTGACTAGAAAGGAGAACTTCTGAGTTGGAAAACACAAAAACACAGTTGTCCTGTTGAAACAAGGTGTGTGTTGGGTCTACACCTTGCTTTAGAGGAGAATCTCTTCCTCTGGAGATGTGATCCTCCCGTGCTTTGTACATTTTGCACATTTACCGCAGTGCTGTAGTTTTCTGCCCGTAGAATATTAGATCTTTATTCTTGCGATCTTCACAGTTCTTTTCAAATATGTTGTTACGCTTGCACTGTTGGTGACGTCCCACAAGATGGAGCAATTATCCTGACTTCTTTCTTTCTTTACAGCCCCAGGAAGCGGTCCACTCTTCTCCCTCCTGCCCGGGTACAAGGGACATCCCAGCTTTCAGTCTCTGATCGCCAAGCTTCGAAGCCAGATCATGTCCATGTCTCGGCCTCAACTCTCCCATACCATCCTGACCGAAAAGAACTGGTAAGCCTGAGTGCATGTGTGCTTCCAGAAATGCAGTGCCTGCTATATTGTGGGAAGATTAAGAGTAAACTTCAGGCTTGAAAGGATGTTGTACATCTTTTGAGCCTTTGCTCTTACCCTTGCTTAGCAGTATTTGGTAGCCAGATGGGCAGTATAAAAATCAAATAAATAAAATTAACTAACAAAATAAATATTTTTCCATGTATCTCATGGAACTGGTTCTTTTACCTGTGAAAGCTCATATTTCAGTACATGGAGACATTGGAAAACTTAGTATTAGAGGAATACCCAAACAAGAGCTGCTGCTGTGTGCAGATCCAAGGCACAACAGTAGAATCTGAGACATAAAATCTCCTTCTAAAGAAGTGGGTTTGGTTTCCCCCCCCAAATTATATTGTTTCTAGTGACCCCCGTTTGTTTGTTTGATTTATATACCGCCCCTTTGATGGAAACACTGTGAGTGGTTTACAGATTAAAAACTCAGAACCCCACACCTTCCATAGAACAGTGTGATCAATATGATGGCTCAGCAATCTAGACCTTACATTAATAAAAAAAGAAAACACAAAAAATATAAACAGCAACCAGGAGATAAGTTATTGAAGGCAACTTGCATAATTCTGTCTTTGCTAGCTTCCGCAGAATCCCAAATAATTTTATAGACTTTTTTTTAAGGGCCATGTTAAAGGCAGGAGGAAGTAAATGATGTACAGAGTATGGACATTAGTGAACCCCATGGTGCAGTGGTTAAACTGCAGTACTGCAGTGAAGACTTTGCTAACCACCCGAGTTTGAACCCAATGGGTTCAGGTAGCCAGCTCAAGGTTGACTCAGCCTTCTGTCTTTCTAAGGTCAGTAAGATGAGTACCTAGTTCATGGGGGGGGCAAAGTGTTCCTTTCCTCAGTATCTTATAAATGGCCCAGAGAGTGCAGGGTGGGACCTTTGGCCAGCTCTGAAAATAAAGGCATTGCCTGGCTCTTTCCTCTTTGGCAGGTTCCACTACGCCGCGCGCATCTGGGATGGTGTTAAGAAATCTTCAGCTCTCGCAGAATACAGCCGCCTGCTGGCATGAGCATGATGCCTTCGCATGGGAGCTGCCAAGGGCCGGCCAGCCAGCCTTCCCCATCCACTGCGATGGGTGAGCCAAGGGGATCTGTGCCCTCAGCCAGGAGCCACAAGGTGTGATGTGTGCATCCCAGAGAGGGGAAGATGTAATGGAGCCGCAGCCCTTCCGTTGAGCCATTGCAAGATGCAGGAGTCAAAATGCAGAACAGGTGTTGTGTCCCTCCTGGGCCTCCATCCTGCTAACCACCTTAGCTTGTCTCTTGGGCTCACTCGGTCTTTTAGGGCTCTGATTTCCATCTGCATCCATAGATGGGAGAGCCTTACAAGGCTTTACAGTACCTGTCACCAGGGTGGGAGTTTACCCCAATATGACCTGCACTCTCCTAACACCCTTGTGGGAGCAAGGAAAGTCTTCGGCCGGAGCAAAGATCAGTGGGGCGTTAACTTGGCTTCTTGGAATACTCTCAGATTCTTATTTCTAGTCCTTGAGCGTGTTGATGATAAGCTTCTGTTTGAAGGTGTATGTACCAACCCTTAGGCCATGTCTTTTCTCTTTGAACCATTTCCAGCATTCATTCTAGTTCTTCTTTCACAAGGTGGATAAATCTCTCCCCTTTTGCATGAGTGTCTTTCTTCAATAAACTGTTCAAACTTCTTCATGTCACGGTGAGCTTTTTTTAAAAACACCTCCCATATTGGATTGCTTCTTGTTAACATCATCTGTTTTCTGTGTATACGCATGTGAGTGAATGAGTTAAGATCAGCATTCAGATGCAAAGGGAGATCTCCAGAACAGTCTAGAGTTCAGAATTGCTAAAAAAAACCTTGAGATTGGCCTGACATAGTTTGCCTGTTGCAGTGTGTACAGTGTACATGGCTTTAAATATAAGCTGATTTAAATTGTTTTATATTGATTAAAAGGTTTAAGTGCTGTTTGTTTTGTTTTCTTGTAATCTGCTGGATCGAAGAATTTTGATGCTGGTAATAGTAAGGATGTTGATATAAGGAGATTCCTCCTGTAGAAATAAAATATGCAGTAACTTTGCAACAGAGCTTGGAAAACATAACTTTCCCATGCTCTCCTTCTGAGTTCATGGCCCCGTGCAAAAGAGATGAGGGTTGTTTTAGAAAGGATGCCTCCCTCCTTGAGCACCTGGGCCTTTCCTGTAGGAGGCAGGCAGTCGTATAGCTGGCCCGACTGTTTTGCAATCCTCCTGAAAGGGATGATGCTGCCCTTGTGAATGGCATTCATTAGATGAAAAAAAGACTGCCACCCTTAGTAGGTGAGGCTAAACTGCGATTCAGCGCTGAAGGTCGGAAGGAGGTCTTACCAGGCTCTGCAGCTGGGGTTCGCACCCTTAGGTGAGGCTAAACTGCGGTTCAGCACTGTAGGTGGGAAGGTCTTACCAGGCTCTGCAGCTGGGGTTCCCTCGACCCGGTCGGTTTCTAAGATGTACATAAGTTCGAATGTAAAATCATAGGACAGAATGCTGTTTGTTGGTTGTGCTGACACAGTGATGTGTTGCACAAGCGCTGCACCACTGTGCGGAGATTGCACAAGGAGGCCCCCAATGGCTTCAGTAGATGATCTCAGAAAGCTCCACTTGCGTAACAAAGCACTATGCTCTACTAATGGACAAGTGCGTTCTGTCCTTGGCCATTAAACCATACATGCACAAATATATAGAACGCACCATAGAATTTTACTAGGATTCCCAAGCGTGAGAGCAGTAATGAGTCCTTAGAAATAAGCTAGAATTTCTTGGGTTGATGCAATTTTTAATCCCTGAACTGAATTTCTTAGAGGTTCTTTCCAGCTGAAGCCCATTCTTTTGAGAGAACTGGAACAATAAAAACCAAATCACAAGAAATATTTTATGGAGACATGCCCCCTTTCTTCAGAAGTTAGATGCAGCAATCAGTTTTCAGTGTCACAAAGAGGTGGGCCTGAAGGTTCAGTGTGGACGGTGGAAACACTGCTCTTAATTCCTAACTTAAGAGCAGAAGGTTTGTATCCTAACCACTAGAGAAACCATACTCCACTTTAACCTCTATTTATAAACCAAGCGTTCACAAAACACCTCCCCAGACCTGCAATGTATGCAAGCCCATTTACTCATCAGTTGTACAACAGCACTATCAACTGTCTAATTTTTATTAACCAGTGTTAACAAAAGACCCCATAAAGTTAAAGGTAAAATTCATTTTTTGTCTTTTAATTAAAAAGATCCCCATACTGAAAAAAAAAACCCAAGAGGCAGCATCTACCAAATGCAGAAAGTCTGAAGTTCTGGGTGTTTCTCCATACACATTTTAAATCAGATTCATCTAACTGGTTCATTTTTCTCCTGTGAATACTGGAGACAGTGGTTTTGCAACAGTGCTGTGCATCTCTTCATTTTAGAGATCCTTGTGAATTCAGAGCTAAAGTTCCCATAGTAATGTCCATAAGAAGTAAGTTGCTGGTGAAGCTTGGCAAACTCAACGGAATAAACCCTCTTCTCTCCTGACAGCCACCAATTTAAACAGATACGGGGTTGGACCAATGCCTGTTTTGTATCATACTATTTTCCTGATTTCAGCTGGTAAGCTTCGTTGAAGCTTTTTCCGATGCAACTAAACAAATTTTCCACTCAGCAGCCCCCTCAGAGAGGTCACGGAAGATCCTATAAACTTCTTCACACATCAGATTCGAAGGCCTTAATGAGCACATTTTGAGCATCTCCTGCCACCTCGTTTAGGAAGCTTCGGAGCATATAGTAAGTAGTTGCAAAGGAGATCCCGCCAGCTGCCGCGGAGCCAAATACGGGGATTGTGCTGACTAAATACTCGGTGAACATCAAGGCGCCGCCGCCAGCCTTGGTTAGCATCTTCACCACCACGTCCTTGGAGATCTCTTTGGCGAGGGGGGACTTGATCGCTTCTTTGATCTCTTCCAAAGGCTTGCCAACCTTTTCGGCCAGCTTGGCGAGAGACTCTTCATCCAGGCCGAAGCTCTCACGATATCCCGAGAGACTCTTGACCAGGATCGCTATGTCACAAGCCACAGAGAGGCCCGGGATGGGCACGGCCGCGATGCCGCAGGAGACAGTGGCCAGTTTCCAGATCTGCTTCTGCAAAGCCTCTTTCTTCTTCTGTAGGATTTCTAAAGAGATGTTGGGTAGGGCGAGAAGGAAGGCGTGCCTCTTGTGACTCGGCAGCTCCTTCGCCAAGGTCTCCTCTAGACGCATGAACTCGTACTTGTTTAATTCCCAGCTGGACAGGAGAAACACCTGGGGAGCAGCCACCCCTTCGTTCTCCAGACACGCCTGGCAGTTGTCTCTGATCTCCTTCAAGATCGCCTCTTCGTTGTAGGCTCGCGGCCGGCGCTTCCTGGTGGCCTCCAGGTCCGCGTCCACTTTGGAGCGCACAAAGTAGAAGCGTTTGCCCATCTGCTGGATCTCACGTGCCAGCTGGGCGTGGTTGGACTTGAAGCGCTCGGAAGCGATGAGGATGAAGAAGTCGTAACGGGAAAAGTTTACCTGCTCCAGGTAAGTGCTGGATTTGAAGTCTGGTGTGCCAATTCCTGGCAGATCCCACACGGTCACATTAGGGTGCTTAGGGTGGGGATAAGGAGTAGGCACCACTGTGGTCTCCACCACCCCAGTAGGGGCTGATTCGTCATCTTCGTCCCCTAGACCACGAACGGCGTTGACAAACGTTGACTTCCCTGAACCAGATTCCCCAGTGACTGCAATGTCCAGAGTAGCATTTTCCAAGGCTTGCAGGTTTTCCATAATCCTGGAGGCTGCTTCTGCCATCTTCCCTTCTTTGAGAGCATCCTTAATGCCTTCAATGTCCTCTTCGGTGATGATGTCGTATTCATCAAAATCAGGGGCATGTTGTTTTGTAGCAGCTGGAGTTTGATCTGCCATAGGATCCAGTCGAGGCCTAGGAGAAAGGGAACACACAACATAAACAATGAAGGGTTTAAACACAAGCATGATTATTTCTGCATTAGGTGGCACATTCCACAGCCAGCAGCTTCTACGTGCAGAGACTGTTGGGTGAATAACATGAAATAGATCTTTTCCATCAAATGTTAGACGGCGTTAACACCAAATTGGGGCACATTGTTTGGGAGGAGTAGATAACGGAATCACTGCCTTCACAAACAACATTTCTCTAAATAGGGTACTAAGGGCTTGCCTAGACAGCCAGATGGAAGTGGGCTGGATATTATTATTATTAGTTTTATTATTATAAATATGGCTAAATGGGGTCACTTTGGGGCAAAGCTGCAGTATGCCATTTGGTGAGATCCTTGCATCCACATAGTATACACACTTTAAGCGATTCTACTTGGCCCACCTCCTTTTAAAGAAAAAGAAAAAATGAAAAAGAAAAAAAGCCTCTTTCCTTCCCGTTTTCCTCCAAGGAAAAAGCTTTCAAATATTAATGATTTCTAAAAGTCCACCTCCTTTTAAAGAGAAAGAAAAAATGAAAAAGAAAAAAAGCCTTCCTCTTTCCTTCCTGTTTTCCTCCCAGGAAGAAGCTTTCAAATATTAATGATTTCTAAAAGATACAGTGCATCAGTGCTCACCTAACCTGGATTTTTAAAAACTCAAAACACCTTTTGCTTCTTCCCTCTCCCCCTCCACGGAGGGGCAGAGGTGGTTTTAAATTTCCCAATATTGTGAAGTGGCAAAGCTATTTTTAAAGCCACTTAAAATATCGGGAAATTGAAAGTAGCAAGCCATCTGCTTTGGCTCAGTCCTAGCAATGGCATGTGCTGGAACGGAATAAAAACAGAGTGATTCCCACCTGTACCTAACAGAGCAGCCCCAGACAGGGAGCAAAAAGATGTGGGTAGGAATGCTCTTCTTGAGGACAAGCTGGTTAATGCTGGCATTTACATCATGGGGCTGCCAGGAAAAACACTGAACCAGCCTGTCCCCAGAGCAGACGAGAGAGTGGGATAAATCTCTGTGAAGCTGTACCCTTATTCGTCCAAGGTTTGAATATGAGCCATTAACACAACAGAGAATCATATCAACCATTGCACTAGAACAGATTACTCTGGAGATAAAAAAAACTTCTAATGCCTTCAGGGGTAATATTTCGACCCTGTAGAGAAAGATCATGAGATGTGAATAAATGATGACAGCCATAGCTAAAATGGCTTTTCTCTATTTTGTTAACCACCGTGGGATGGCTTTAGGATTTAAATTCTGTTTAAACAACTCCACAATCACCTTTTGGGGCAATGCTCCATTTTGTCAGGTTGCCTGGCGGCCATCTTGTACGAGACTTCAGACCAGTGGGTGTTGGTTCAATACAGAGTTGGCCTGGTTGTTGTGGGTTTTTCTAGCTGTTTGGCCATGATCTGTCTGTGCTGTGTGTCCCTTCCAGAACGTGGCCAAACAGCCCGAAAATGCGTTCCGTCTGTGCTGTGTGTCCCTTTCCAGAATGTGGCCAAACAGCCCGAAAAACCCACAACAACCACTGGATCTGGGCGGTGAAAGCCTTTGAGAACACAATTAGCCTAGCCTTTCTATTTTTAACTGAGGCAATCTCTCTCTCTCTCTCGTTGCACTCTAGGATCAGTTTTTCTACTTGCTAAATGAACAAGGAAAGAGGCAGTGAGGTCCAGTGGATAAGAGTGTCAGGCTATGACTCTGGAAATCTGGGTTCAAATTCCTGCTCAGCGACGGAAACTCCCTTGAGGAGCAGCAGCCACTCGTTGAGCGTCTCACATACCTCAAAACACCCTTTTAAGGGTGCCATAAATTGGGAAGCCATTTGACATCATGAACAAACAAGAAATAAACACAACACAATGACAAATTATAGGGGGGGGAATAGAAATAATCTGGTACGTCAAAGACTAGCAGATTTAATGGTTGTTGTGGGTTTTTCAGGCTCTTTGGCCATGTTCTGAAGGTTGTTCTTCCTAACGTTTCGCCAGTCTCTGTGGCCATGGGCATCTTCAGAGGACGGCACAACCCACAACAACCATTAGATCCCAGCCATGAAAGCCTTCACAAATACTAGCAGATTTATTTCAGTGGGAGCTTTGGTGAAATCAGTGTCACAAACCACTTCCTCAGATTCTTCCTATTCCATTCATTCATTCATGTAATCGGCTCACCACACAGAAGCTAATCTGCCAGATATGGGGCACCCTATCAGTAACGCCACCATTTTATCCCTTTTGTTCCTGCTTCTGACACATCTAAGGAAGCGAGTTCAAAACATCCAGAAAAGCACCCACTGAAATCTGTTAGTCTTTAAAGCACCATCCTAACTTTTATTTTATTTCATTTCAGCACCATGAAAGGGGTGTCTCCTTGAAAACTTAATCCAACAACAGGCTGAGAGGGAAAATAGAATGCGCGGTGCCCTCCGACTCCCCCCTACTCCTCCAACTTCAGGATCCATGGGGTTGGCCCCTGAACTCAGTGGCAAATGGGCCATGGAGTTTCCCCTGTGGTTTCTACCCTAGCAACCAGCCTGTCTGCATGTCAGAGACCGGGCTGTGGATTTCAGGGGCCTCTCTTTGCATCTCAGGACTAGCATCTTTTTCGCAGGGATGGACAATTAATTTATATAAGGGGGGCCACATGAAAAATCTGAACTGTGTTGGGGGGGGCGAACCAACTTTACTTAAAAATAAATGATGTTAGGATTGGTTTTATTTTAAACTTGTACATCTTCACAAATACTAAAGAGTTTTTTTGTGTGTTTTTTTTTGCGGTATGTTAAACATAAGCAACTGATCAACTTCGGACAAAAAGCTAGAAATGGTTTTGATGTTGAAAACCGTCTGCGGGCAGGACAGGAGCGGCTCTCGCGGGGCGTATGTGGCCCGCGGGCCGCACTTTGCCCAGGTCTGTTTCAAGACATCCCCGTCCAGCTTTGAAACTTTATGGACACGGAAAATCGCATCATTGCAACAATGCCGTCCCCCGCAACTCCTTCGAAGGTCAATTCAGTGAAACATCAGACCAATATCCTCTTTGCAGCTTTTCCGATTTGGAAGTTAAAAGGGAAGTAATGCAATTACATACCAGGCGCACAGATTGCACCGGGGTTGCCCACGTCGTTCCACCCTTCCTGCCAAGTATCAAAACCTCTTCTGCCGCTTCCCCACGTCTGAAAAGGTCCCAAACAATCCCCGACCCCGGGCGCCACTAAAAAGAGGCAATCGCTTGCTTTTTTGCAGCCCGGATCCGGTTCAAAGGATCTGAGCGAACCGAACGGCCCTCTGCCACGGAGTAAACCCTTAAGCAACAGCGCTTCGGCTCTCCTCTCTCGACTTTCTCCGTGGCTACATCGGGCGCTCCTTCCCTGCCCGTCTTTTGCATACCTTTGATTGAATTTGCAGGAATCCGGCGTCCGGGCAGGAAACGGCGCGGGCCTTGCAAAGGGGGGATTTCAGGGGGTTTCTGGACGGGCGGCGCTGACGTTTTGCCGGCTCAGCAAGACCAGCTGCTGCGGCGACTTCCTGTATTGTATTTCCGAACGATCGTTTCGTTCCTTCTTTATTCGTGCTTAAACTACCAGGTCCTTCTCGCTGCCACCTCCTGGAAGGAATGTCATGTAAACTTTAAGAATGGGGGCGGGAAATCAAAATTGCTGCATGAACCCTACAAACAAGAGAAGAAATCGGCAGGTTCTTTTTAAAAATAATGATTATTCTTATTTTTCGATGGATTTCTATTTGCTTGCCAGCTCCTGGAAGGAGTAAGTTCAGGGGAGCTGGAGAGAAGCATGCAAACCTCTTTTTCCCGCTCCCCTTGGGAGGACCTTTAAACTAGCTCCGATTAAAAAAAAACAACAACCAAAGCCAACGAGGAGTCTTGTGCCATCCGGAAGATGGCAGTCCGGTTCGGCGATGGTTCTGTTCGACGTTGGCGACAGAAGATCACGCTTGTCCTTTGAGAAAGGGGGGAATGGAAGGGGGAATTCTTGTGTTTATTACGTAAAGCAGCCAGTAAGGCCGAAAGAAGATCACGACTGTCCTTCGAGAAAGAAAGAAAAAAGGAAGCAGGAACGAGGGGGGAATGGAAGGGGGAATTTTTGTATTTATTACATAAAGCAGCCAGTAAGGCCGAGGCAGGAAACGCTGTGGGGGTTGTTATTATTATTATTGCCCTCGTGGACGTTACATAAAGGATCACGCGGGGGCAGAAACGAAACTGAATTCCCGCTGGGCCACGTGGGTGACCGAAAGTGAAAGTGACAAGATCAAAAGGCAGGGGTGTCTTTTTCTTCTCCTTTTTACACGGAGACAAAAGGGTAGGGAGCCTTCTGGCCAAACTGATGTGAATGCATTACTCGGAGAGGGTGGGGGAGAACACTATAGTCGTGCTACAGCCCACCCCAGACACCCCACCAGTTTGAGTCCCCCCCCAGTACTCTTTCACTAAGGAGGGAGGGGAGCGCAGCTCAAAGCACTTGCTTGGGATGCCAAAGGACCGATGTACAGTGGGGTCTTGACTTGAGAACTTAATCCGTATTGGAAGGTGGTTCTCAGGTCAAAAAGTCTGTAGGTCAAGTCTCCATTGACCTACGGTGCATTGAAAACCGATTAATCCCGTAGCAGGCCGTTTTTGTTCCATTTTGGTTTTTTTTCTGGTCTGTAAGTCAAATCTCAGTCTGCAAGTCAAACCTAAATTTTGCGGCCAGAGAAGTCTGTAACTCAAAAAGTCTGTAAGTCAAGCTGTCTGTAAGTCAAGGGTCCACTGTAGCTCCCAAAGTCTCTAGGCAAGCTGCTCTCATCCACCGTCAATTGCACTAGCGGAACAGGAGCCGCTGTCCTGCTCCAGACACACAAGCATAAAATTGCTCCGTGGTGGCAAACCCGTAGTCCTACATATAAACCTTGCTGGCGGTCGCTCCCTTGGGCTCCGCTGATAAGCCCAAACGTGCTGGAATGAAAGGACATGGGGAGGATTCAAGGAAGCCTATCAGCTTCGTATTTTATCTGATGGATTGGGTGCAGGCGCTGGAAATAAACTGGACAGCAGCCCTAACAAGCCTCGATGCATCCTGGACCTTGGTCATAAATCATCTGAAGAAGACCAGGGGAAGGATTTTTGAGTTTCCTTCTCATTGCATCCGAAGCCCTGCAGACCCACCTCTTCCCCTCTTTTATTCTCAAAGATCAGAATGTGATGTAGGTTTGTTTGTTTATAATTAATTATTTAATGTATATACCGCTTTTCCAATAGCAGATATAATGCTCACCAGAGCTTACAAACATCTTAAGAGGATCAAATCAGAGAAAACCACGTTTCACTAGAAAAGTTATAAAATCAAGCCAAGCAAAGAGTGCATTGAAACTTGGCAATCAGCTAGGGTAGGTGAAACGTCAAAGGCCAGCCCGATCTTCTCAGCACGCCGAGTTTAGGGCTTGCCGTCTTGATCATCTGCTTTGGTGAAACATGATTTCGGAAAAGGCAGAGCCGACTGCGGCTAAATGGACTTCTTTCCTTCTCCCTTCACTGCTTCAATCAGAACCCTGTGGGTGTCACCGGCGACCGCTGAGATGCATTTCCGTAGCAAGAAGGAGGAGGAGAGAAAGGAGATTCCCCCAGAGACCATGCATCCAATAATGGGGAAATGATGCCAGTGGAAATACTCCACTATCATCACAGAGGCTCCCACCAAGTCGGTCAGCCTCCACAAAGCCACCGAGGCGGTTGTTAGAGGCTTCGTTGCGGCTTTAAGGGCCATCGCCGTCTTCCCAACCAACTTAGCAAGGTTGGCGAGGGACGGATCATCCAGGCCAAAGTTATGGTAGCACCAAGTGTGGAACTTCATACACAGATACAGGGCAGGAAAGAACGAGAGACCGGGGACTGGAAGAGCAGCAATGACACCCAACCAAAGGGCTTTGGCCCAGATCCGCTTCTTCATACTGGCTTTCTTCTGCTCTAAGACAGGTAAACAGATGTTGGGCAAGTTGGAGATGAAAGCTTGCCTCTTCAGCCTCAAGAGATCCTCCTTCAGCCTTTCCTGTAGGAGAGGAAAATCAAACCGGTTGGTTTCCCAGGTGGACACTATGAAGACCTGAGGGTCGGTGACTCCTTCTCTTCTTAAGCCTCGGTTGCAATCTTCCTTGATGTGTTGCAGAATCTCCTCCTCGTTGTAGGCAGAGGGTTGCTGCCTCTTGGATGCCTCTAGATCCAGGTCTGCTTTGGTGCGCACAAAGTAGAATCGCTTGCCCAAACTTTGGATCTCATGGACCAAGTCGGCATGGGTGGTCCGGAAGCGCTGGAAGCCAACGACGATGAAGAAATCAAAGCGGTTTAAGTCTACCTTAGCAAAAGGGTCCTCCCCAAAAGGCGATCCTCCTTTACCTGGGAGGTCCCAAAGGGTGACCTGTGGAAGCAATGGGTGACGATAAGGCTTGGCCTCCAGCGTGGTTGCTCCTATACCAGTCTCGGCAGCCCCTGGGTCCCCCGGTTGGAGGCCTAGCATGGCATTGACGAAGGAGGACTTCCCAGACCCTGGCTCTCCTGCTACAGCAATGTTGAGCAGAGTGTTATTAAAAGACGGTAGGGGTTTTGTCAGCATGTTAGACAAAGCATCCGTCAGTTGCCCATGATAAATGGCTGCCTTGAAGTCTTCCATAGCTGTGGATCTTGGTGCCCTGTAGGGAATGTAGCGTTAGAGTAAGCATGCTTTATCTGCCCTCATGAATTATGTCACTATTAAGTGCAATTTGTATCTACTTACAAACTTTTCATCAGGTGCCATAAGCTTCTAGAGAAAACATACAGTAACTTAAATATTGGACACCAGCAGGATAGCTCAGTGGCTTAGGCCTCTGGCTGTGGAGCCAGAGGTTGGGAGTTCAATTCCCCTAATGTGCCTCCTTGAGGGGGTCTGGACTTGATGATCCAGAGGGTCCCTTCCACCTCTGCAGTTTGAAGGTTGTTGCTTGTTATTTGCTATACAGTGGTGCCTCGTTTAACGAGGATAATTTGTTCCGTTGAAATTGCTGTTAAGCGAAATCCTCGTCAAGCGAAACGAAAAAGCCAATTGAAATGCATTGAAACCGGTTCAATGCGTTCCAATGGGCTTACCGTATTTGCCGGCACACAAGGCGACCAGCCATATAAGACGACCCCCCCCAACAGGAGGAGGAGGAAGAGGGGAAACGGGCGGGTGGCGAGCGAGCGAGTGCACAGCTGGATCAGCGGCATGGGGCAGCGGTTAGCCCGGCGGCAGCTCAGGCATGGCAGCAAGAGGCCGAGGAAGAGCGGAAGAGGCTGAGTGGGCGGCGGCAGGAGGAGGAGGAAGAGGAAAAGGGAAACGTGCGGGCGAGCAAGCGCACGGCTGGCTCAGCGGCACGGGGTGGCAGGCAGCCCAGCAGCGGTTACCACTGAGCAGTTATGTTTAGAATGTTTAACTGCATCAAAATGGAAGGATCCCATATTAAATGCAGTAAGATATTTCATATGCTGTTGTTGTAAGCAGTGCAACTTGATTTGTGGTAAAGAGTGATTTTAAGGTGTTTCCCTGGAAAACCAAGCCAATCCAAAATTTCAAAAGCATTTTTTGGGGAAGAGCTTGATGGATTTTTTTTGCATTCAATTTTTTTTGATGAAATAATAGAGATGGTGTGCTTGACTGAAGCAACAGTTGCAACTAGAAATGCTGAATTAATTTTCTGATCTGGCTGCTGAGGACTGAAATCCTGTTATCTTTCCTTGTAGAAGTTGTGGTTAACCCTTGTAATTGTGATTGACATAATAAATAGCTTTAGGTGGTGGAAGGTGGTTAATTTTAGCACTGCTTTATTGCAGACTCCGGGTAAAGATGTATTCAACTACTTTAATGAAACCAAGACGGTTCAGAACGAGTAGATTTTCTCATAGTTTATTAACAATTAAATACAATTCAGCTTCTCTTGTAGAATAAGAGGTGTCAGAGCAGAGGTAAACATTGTACATTTTAAGAACTTAGCTTTTGTTAGGTTTAAATTTTAGCAGCCAGTATGAGAAAGGAAGAGAACATCTGAACAGCTGCCAGACATCTTTGCTATTTTTCAATTCCCTTTGGAATTCTAGATTATCCGTGGTCCGGAACTCCTGGTTTATTGTGGGCTGCCATGTATTTCTCTCTCTCATGCTTGATCTAGGCTTCCAGCTCACCCACTGTGGGTTTCTCCTTTCAAGTATGGAGGCTGGAAAACCTGGGATACCACATTTCTTTCAATACCTCTGGGGGGCGGGGGGGGAGGTGAGACATAATAGTCTTCCATAAACATGAAAGTGTTTTATTGAGCACAAACTCTTGGGAACTTCAGACCGCTTCACCGTAAGCAAGTTGACCCATCCTGCCACATGCACTGAAATCTACAAAAAGGTACACCAGATAACTCTTGTTAACTGGCCCATGAATAACCACTAAGTTTTATTTGGTATACATTTTTATACACCACGGTGCACACCATGTTTTCAGATTTATTTTGGGTAAGAAACGCTTGTTTCATCAACCCGTCTAGGAGATCAGCGCCCGAGTAGCAGGGGTACGGAAACCAAAGTTAGCCTCCAAGTGAAAAAATTGCAATGAAAACAAATTGGAAACATGAAATCAACGACAATAACACACCACCTAAGCGAAGCCTCATCAACAGGAATCAGCTCCACATTTAGGAATCCAACATGTACTAAATTTCCTGTGTGCTGTAATGGATAGAGTGATGGAGTAGGACTCTGGAGAACAGGGTTCGAATCCTCGCTCAGCCCTAGAACCTCACTGGGAGAGTGGAACTGGGGAAATCCCTCCTTGACTACAGTATCTCATTTATCTTGAAAGTCCTCTTGGGGGCGCTAGAGGTCAGTTCCAACTTGACAGCCTAAAACACACACATGTATGCAGATGGATCTTGTCACATACTGAAAGCTTTTTTTTTTATTTATTTATTCAGCAACAACACATATCCCCACATCTAGCAGAGGTTTTCATGGAGTCTTTCCCCCTTGCTTATTTTTTATATACTGTACTGTATATTCACTTCTTTTTGTCTGCTATTGTTTTAAATGCATGCCTGTGTTAAACAAGCAGCGTCTAACTACAGATCACCACAAACACACACCCTTGGGCTTACCGGTGTGTTACTCTAAGCTGAGTCACGGACTGGTCTGGAGATTGTGAAAACCTTCCTTACCAGGTTTTTAATATTTTTTTTCTAAAAACAATTTTCTTCCCTCCGAGGTGAGATCAGTGAGGTTTCACTCCATTGTGCGTGGAGAGGGGGGAGAGAAATTTTGACAGCATCTTCAAAAGCAGAGACCTCACCTTGCCAACAAAAGTCCGAATAGTCAAAGCTATGGTTTTTCCTGAAGTGAGAGGTGGAAGTGAGAGGTGGACCATAAAGAAGGCTGACCACCAAAGAATTGATGCTTTTGAATTGTGGTGCTGGAGGAGGCTCTTGAGAGTCCCTTGGACTGCAAGGGGAACAAACCTATCCATTTTTGAAAGAAATCAACCCTGAGTGCTCACTGGAAGGACAGATCCTGAAGCTGAGGCTCCAATACTTTGGCCATCTCATGAGAAGAGAAGACTCCCTGGAAAAGACTCTGATGTTAGGAAAGAGTGAGGGCAAGAGGAGAAGGGGATGACAGAGGACGAGATGGATGGACAGGGTCACCGAAGTGACCAACATGAATTTGACCCAACTCCGGGAGGCAGTGGAAGACAGCAGGGCCTGGCGTGCTCTGGTCCATGGGGTCACGAAGAGACGGACACAACTAAATGACTAAAGGACGAAAAGGAGTTGTGATGGGGGAGAATCTCCTGGCTGAAAGTTGGGAGGGTAGGATGCTGCCCCGCTAAATACCTCTCCCGATTCGTCCGGTCCTTTTCGGACTCCTCCCTAACATTCGGAGGCTTCTGCTGAGCGCTTTTCCCCTTCCGTGGATGAATGCGAGCGGGGGGGGGAGGAGGGAGCAAGTCTCCCTCTACTATCCACGGTGTCTTGTAACGGCGTGCCCGTTACTCTTGAATTACATTGAATTTCAGTTCCTTCCCCTGCATTTTCTCTCCACCGAGGCAGCCAAGAAGCAACTCAGCTCAACCACCCACCCCAAGACGTTGGCACCTGATTTCTCCATGCAAATCTCCCGCCCCATCATCCTAGCAGAGAGCTTAGAAAGAGAGGAGGAGGAGGAGAGAGAAAGAGAGAGAGAGAGAAGTTTTACCTGCTACCAGGAGGAGATTTGAAGTAGCTGTACTTTTCTTTTGCAGTTTCAGGGTTTCTTTGCGCAGATTCCCCCCACCCACCCCCCAGTAAGCCGATCCTTTCTTTCCAATTTCGGAGCCGCCTGTTCTGGTTGGAAAGTCGCCCGCAAAGTGAAACTGAAGCCCGATGCGCGGCTGTCACTCGGAGAAAGAGGCGGATGATGCCCGGAGGGGCTGGGGAGGATCCGAACTCAAGCCAAGGAGTCAAGCCAAGAAGAGGAAGGGTGCCAGGACCGAGTCCCCCGTTCTTTGCGCTCTGGACGAGCGGCTGACTCGCTGTAGCAGCGCTTCTTTCATTTCTTTATAAAAAAGAATTACATTTCATGGCTATCCTTTATTGCAGCAGGTCACCGACAGCCAAAATTTATAGTGCAACGCTTGAATGCCCAACACGTTTTCAGTGACGGTGGGGAAACGCCACCAATGTAGCATTTCTGTGCGTGTCATTTATGCCCCACCACATATACCAAAGAAGATGGATGGATGGATTATTTAGGCGCTCACAACAGGTAAAATAAAAAAATTCTAAAACACGATATAAATGTCACATTTAAAAAACAAACATGCATTAAGATTAAAGCAATTAAAACAATTTAAATACATTTTTTAAAAAAACCTTATGAAAATAAATCATCATTCGTAAGATAAGAAGGAAGAGAGGTTTCTCAAGCCGGTGGATGGCAAAGCCTGGGAGCAGGCACTGAGAAGGCCCCCCCCTCTGGTTTTCTCCTCAAATGAGCTTGGGAATGGGGTGGAACGGAGACAAGCGACTGTCCAGAAGGTCTTAAAAGCCAAAAAGGCTCATCCCAGGTCACAGGATCCTTCAAATAGCGTGGACACAAGCCATATCCATATCTAATACAGTGGTGCCTCGCTAGACGAAGATAATCCGTTCCACTGAAATTGCTGTTTAGCGAAATCATCGTCTAGCAAAAAGCATTTCCCCATTGGAACGCACTGAAACCTGTTTAATGAGTTCCAATGGGGAAGAATCGTTGTTGTCTAGCAAAAATCGGCCATAGGAAAGCCGCTTTGCGAACTGCCGATCAGCTGTTTAAATCACTATCTTGCAAAGCTTAGGTCCCGAAAACACCTGTTTGCGAGCGCGGAGGGAGCTGTCAAAATTGTCGTCTAGCGAAAATCGGTTTGGGAAGCAGGGACCAAACATTGTCCAGAGAAATTCCCTCATAGGAATCACTGTTTTGCCGCATTACGAGCCGACCTGGGCTGCATGCAGCCCTCAGGCCACAGTTTGGACAAGCCTGCTTTATATGTTCTTATATTGTGAAGTATTTACTCATTACTCAAGTTTTGATGCCTGCATCTTTGTATCAATTGCAAGAATGGATTTAAAGTTATGTCCCTACAGTATTATTATACCTGTCAGGATGATTTTTGCATGATGAAATGACATACCTGTCTCAAAGCTTGCATGTTTCAAATACTTTTGGATTTCCTTTTATGCTTATGGAACTTAGAAGCAAAGTAGATAAATAAACCTTAAAATTGTGGCAAGTTGGAGTTGCCTGGAGTTATTGCAAAATAAAAATACTGATCCTGAGATACCCAGATGAATTTTGAAATGCTTGTCAACACTTGTCTGATTTCATTGTGGAATCCATCCTTTACTGGGATAATGTCAGCTATGACGAACCTGGAATACGTTTGCCAGCTGTAACCAAAACATAGGCTTATGTGATTTGCTCTGTAGGTCTACTTTTAAGTTGGCTTGTAAGGGAAATCATACAGAGCCCTCCCAAGTGGGATCTGACAGGCCTATGCACATCTCTGACTCTCTACTTGAGAAATTACATATACCATCCCTCATCTCCAACTACCCGTCTCATACTTTTGCTGGGCTGTTCTACCAATACTAAGATAGTCATGCCCAAATCTAGACTTCTCATTTCCCCGCAACCGTTTTCCAGTCTTCTGTGTTCTCAACTCAATAACTATTGACAACATCGCTATTCAACATGTGGAGAAAAGCCAATGCTTTAGAGCAGCGGTTCTTAACCTTGGGTTACTCAGGTGTTTTTGAACTACAACTCCCAGAAACCCCAGCCAGCACAGCTGGTGGTAAAGGCTTCTGGGAGCTGCAGTCCAAAAACACCTGAGTAACCCAAGGTTAAGAACCACTGCTTTAGAGCAATTGTGAGCAGCCTCCGTGCCCAAATCCATCATGACTCAACATTTACTCTTATATTTTCTTCACTGCCCCAAAGTTAAGTCTGTTGTCTGTATAACAAATATTTGATATTATAACAACAACACTCATCAATCACAGTGAAAGATAATCTCTCCCTCTTATCACAACAATACACCCACAACAAAAAACACGCTGATCACCACAATCACCCATCTCCTGAAAAGGACAAAAGCTGATCCCACAGCTATAAATACTCAACTGTCCAAACAAACTGCAACAGAGCACAGACAGAGTTCTGACTTCTGTCCTCTGAAGATGCCGGCCACAGAAATTGGTGAAACGTTAGGAAGAACAACCTTCAGAACATGGCCAAAGAGCCTGAAAAACCCACAACAACCAACAGCAACACCCTTAGAAACTGAAGAGCTGAAAGGGACCCTATGGATCATCAGACCCTATCGAGGCACAGTGGGGAATCGAACTCCCAGCCTCTGGCACCAGAGACCTAAACCACTGAGCTATCCCGCTGTTTTGTTCCCTCGTGGTTTCTCATTGTTGTGATTGTGTAGTGCAGTTAGCTTCAGGCACTTTGGTAACTTATTCTGGTTATTACCATTAGGTAAATATTCTTCCCCCATCTGGTTCTCATTGTGCACCAAGAAAACACACACCAGTCTAAAAAAAGGAACCCAATTGGTCTGGTAGGGATACAACTCAGCAAGGGGACAATCACAAAATTTCCAAAGAGCTTAAACTGGGAGGAAATGCAGATGTGTAGAATAATGTGCATACGGATGGATGTGGGCTGCCATTTATTACCAGACCAAGCTACAAGAGTTGTTCCCGGGGTCCTAAGAGAATCCAACTCAGCATATTTCTAACTGCTACAAGAGAAAGGGATTGGATTGTTTTCCCATTACTTTTAAGTACACTTGCCTCAGACTTCTCTTAAATGGCAAGTTGGCTTAAATATCCACACAACCCTGTCTGTGTTCAGAAAATCCCAGTGCAGCCATAATGAATTACCGTATTTTTCGCACCATAAGACACTCTTTTCCCCCACAAAACAGGGGGGTGGAAAGTCTGTGCGTCTTATGGAGAGAAGAAAAGAGATTATATTTTCCTGTTTTCTTCTCCTAAAAAATTGGTGCGTCTTATGGAAAGGTGCGTCTTATGGAGCCCGTTTCAGCGTAAATGTGCAGCTCTTTGCTGTGGAATGTTTGTTGAGTTGAGGTGACTGAGTTTGGGACTTCTAGCTCCTCAGGCAAGAGTGCGACAGGCATAAGATCGCTGTCGTGATTTACTTCAATAAACAAAAGGCAGAGTCCAATAGTCCAGAAGCCAGAGAATCAGTCAGAACCATATAACAAGTAACAATGCTGGAGTCAAGGAATCACAGAGATTAAGTCCAGGTCCAGTTCAAAGGTCAAGAATAGCTCCAGGAAATACCAAGGGCAACTTGGAGGTGGAAACAACCATTATTTCCTGCACCGATTCATCAGGGGAGTCTGCCCTTATAGGGGGAGTCTATGCCTTTACATTGCTCTCAGCTGAAGTCCTTAGCTAGGATGCTTCAGAAATTACACGCTGGTCTCACCTGAGCCCTTGACTGAAACACTACAATCATCTGAAGAACCTGACGGTCTAGAAACATCAGAAAGCCCGTGAAGAGAGCAATGGTTGGAGGGGGAGGAAGATTTAGAAGGAAAAGAGAGGATAAAAGAAGGAAAGGCACAGGGGGCCAGGGAGAGGGAGAGTCAGGGATGTAGGCATGTTTTGGGACCTGAGTCCTAATTCCGAGTCTTTGATACCCAAGTTGCAAGGCTCAAGTCTGAGTCTTGAGTTGCTTGCCCCATCCCTGAGGTTTGGGATTCGGGACCTGTTAGTTTCCTTTAGTCCTGCCCTTCTGAGTCTCAGTCTTCTGATTTCTTGGCTGCTATCTCTATTTGGGTTGATGATTAAACCAAGAAACTCTTGTTTCGGTTTCTTCGTTCTCAAGGTTAATGTTGTGCCATTCTTTGATTTTGGTGTTGTTCGGGAGCCCTGCTTTTCGTCTTCTTCATGTTCAACTGCAGTCCTGCTTTGGCACTTTCTTCTTTCAACTTTACTAAAAGCATTTTTTCATACATACTTGGCCATAGGAAAAAAGGTCGCTGAAAGGGCCTCCTCTACTTGCCAACACACATTTATTTATTTTGTTTGATAATTTTTAGGAAGACAAAGAGGCTTATACTAAATTGGACTCTGGCTCCACTGAGCCAAGTGCAACCAGCAAGTAAGTGTGTGTGTGTGTGTGTGTGTGTGTGTGTGTGTGTGTGTGTGTGTGTCTGTGTGTGTGTAACCCGAATGAGATTAAAAAGGCATGCAGCATTTGATCTTGAGTGGTTAGCTTTTACAGTGGTGCCTCGCTAGACAGTTACCCCGCATGACAGTTTTTTCGCTAGACATTGACTTTTTGCTATCACTATAACGATTCGCAAAACAGTAATTCCTATGGGGGAATTTTGCTGGACAATGTTTTGTCCCTGCTTTGCAAACCGATTTTCGCTAGACGACAATTTGCTTTTCGCTAGACAATGATTTCGCTAGACAGCGATTTCAGTGGAACGGATTATCATCGTCTAGCGAGGCACCACTGTACTTATCTATAGGGATAAGCATTCAGCTGGAAGACAGCTTTCAAACATGACTAGATCCATAAAAAGGAGTTGCTCTGACAGATAAACAGGGCTCCAAACCATTAAGGGCTTTGACCGTTAGGACCAATGCTTTGAATTCAGCTTGGAAAGGCACAAGGAGCCAATGGAGCTGGGCAGCACTGGGGAGATATGATCAGACTTTGCCACTCCAGTGATCAACCTGGTCACTACATTCTGCAGGCATTGCAGCTTTCGAGCCAGATTCAAAGGGAGGCCCTCTGTAGAGAGCATTGCAATAGTTGACCTTCAGATTCACTCGGACAGGGACCAACGTTGGCAGGAATGAATTCTGACCCCACCCCTCCATCGAGGTAGATGTGGTAAGCTTCAGGTAGACGACCCTACACTTCTAGCAAGAGTTGACCAAGAATGAGTAGAGAATGAGGGTCTTTGTTAAACATCTAGTCCATTTGCCAAAGTACTTTAGCTGTTCCTTACACCTTTCCGTTTTTTAAAGGATAACAGGACTGTGGGGTGGGGGGTTG